CATGATGAGCGGATATCAGTATCCTAACCGATATCGGGATGTGCCGGTCCCATCTGTAACCCCCGTATATATAGATTACACTCTCCCACTTACTTTGTTCCCCAGGCTTGCATTAGGGAAGTAAACAGATAATTACTTAGCAGACATCACTAATTGGTAGCAGTAACCAGAAGTAATTATTATGGATTTTCCCCCAGAAGATATGAAATTGATCCCAGAAACCATTATCCCCCTTAGCCTTATCCTTACCAACATCCCCCACATCCTCAATCTCTCAGCAGTTGACTTTTACAAGACATCACTAATAACTATCATAACAAGATTACCTGCAGAAATAGCAGAGACAGCAACAACCATCACAGTCCCCTATGTGAAGGGACTGTCATACCTCAGACAAAAGAATGTTGATGTGAGAGAGCACACACCAATCTTCAGGGAATCTACCCTGCTGCAGATTGGTGTGTGATCCCACACACAAATCTGCTTTGGTGTGTTGAAGGGGGAGGGAGTGTGTTTATCATTCCCCTTGTTTATTCCATGGCTTTCTTCAAAACAATTAAAATAAAAAACAATTTGCGTGAAATTTAATACTGGACCCTCAAAGTACAGAAGCACAGCTGCCTTAGTCTCTAGTCTCACATATCATCAACATGTCACTGCAGTAAAAAGTAAGTATTTCCTCTGCTAAAGTAAAGAATTGTTTTTTTTTTTGGAAAAATTTAAACATGTTTATAATGTGTAATATTGGTTGTTTCTGGTTGAAACTTCTGAGGGAGGCTGTAATCACCAAAACCCCTTTCACAGTACATGAAATCCTCCCCACATTGTTCTCAGCCCTGTCACCAACATGCTACATACAATATACCTCAGACCTCTCAAAGATTTCTTATATCCTTATCCCCTATCTACTTATTCAATTATGTCCTCTTATCTCATGTCAAGAATCCTCACACCTCAGCTATCTTTCATGTCAATAGTTCTTTGAAATTTATTACTTTATCTCTTTCAATCTTCATCTGGACAAAATAATTCTCCCCATCTCATCCCCTTGATAAGAATATCCAAGCCTCTCTCTGTTTCAGACCAAAATCCTTATCTTATCTTGGCTTTTTTCATGTTTCAGAAATTCAGTTCAGTTCTCATCTTATCCTACACTGAATTAACCTAACAAGTAGACTGCTGTCAGTTGACATGCAGAGAAATTGGTGAAACTTGCAATGCAAGAAAAATTCAAGCAACTTAAGGCAGTTGACATGCAAGAGCTCGCATCATACTCTACACTGAACTTGAGTCAAACTCAGACTTTTATTCTACATTATTCTGGCTCAACCCTTTAAGCCACAGGGTAGTACCACTGAAGTATGTTAACACAATGAATTTAGTTTCCATTCAGGCTTGATTGGAGCACGCTGGTAGCAGTTGCCTGACTTTTTTCTTGTAGTGCTGTGCTAAGACTCAAATATTACTGAGAGTTTACTTCAGTTGAACTTCAATACACATTCCCTGTGAAAATTAAACAGTGAATGTGCATAGCCCTCTGTTTAGAGATACATTGTAGTGGTAACAAAGTTGATCCTGTATTATCCTGCATGTCTACTTCTGCCAGCTACCTAAGACTTTTTTTCAGTGTTAGTGCCACATTATTCAAAGCTATAATTTTCACATGGCCCATTCTTTATTTCCATTTGGTTTCATTTTTTCCTCTCACAAACTGTTCACTGACTGAATTGCCATGTCTTTCCACTATCCAGTCACTGGCACAGGACCTTGTTGTTATATTTCTCCCCCTTGAAAGACATCAGGAGGCCTGCTTTATTTGAGGTGTGTCAAATGTTATAATCCTGGAAATTTACATGGGGATGTGTGAGTATATACAGTGCATTATTAAATGTGCATCTTTCCAAAATTCTTATCTCCCATACCCTGTAAGAACTACTGAAACTGCAGATGGTAGTTGGGACTGAGTGATTGTTTGTCCACAAGTTTGAAAACAGATGAAACTTGATTTCCTCTGCCCAGTAGATGACATGACATGTTCATACTGCTCATATCTCTCAGAATTAGAGTTGAACATTAATTTTCATGCTAATATGAGACCCCTTGGTAGGTCCTGGATGAACATGTCCAAGAAGTACCTGTCTGCTAGAGCTTGAAGCTTTATGTTCCCGCCCTCCCACCAAAAACGTTTTTTACAAAGTTAGATGGACAGGTGCAAAGTTATATAGGCAGGTATAAATACAGATGGATCAAAATTCAAATTTTATCTTTAAAAATCTCTATATTTGAGTTCTCCTGTCTTCCAATCACACCAGTGTTGCCAATCTGCACCTGCAAGCTCAGGTCATTGTTGTGAAACATTGTTTTGAGTATTTTTTGGTTCATACAATGGTATCTGCTTGACTTTTACATTTGGAAGAATTTAAGGTATGATTTAACCAACTTGAAGTATGATTTACTTGTGGGATTAAAAAATAAA